TGTTATGTTGTTATGTGCCATCATCAAGTCAACTACTACTCCAAGCTACCCTAGAACAATAGATCTGAACTCTGCCCTATCCTGAGCTCATCTCACTGTCCTTAACACACATACCTGCACCCAATGCCCTAGTCACTGTGTTGATCCCTCTCATCCAGGGTCTTCCTCTCCTCTGCTGACCTTCTATCCTTATATTTATAATGTCCTGATCTCTCTTGGCCATATGCCCACAGTATGTGAGACAGAGTTTAAAAATCCTTGCCTCCAAGAAGAAGCTTGGTTTCATCCTCTCCAAGACAGATCTGTTTGTTCTCTTGGCAGTCCATGGTAGGTTCAATATTCTTCTCCAGAACCACAATTCATAGTTGCATCTCCTGTCAGCTCTCAGAAGCACAGCAACCATCTGAGAAGACCATGGCGTGGATCAGACATACCTTAATCTCTAGACTAACATCATCTCTCTTCAGTACCTTGGAGAAGACACAGACATCAGACTTTCCTAAAGCAACTCGTTTTTTTACTTCCTGACTGCTGATGCCAATATGTTGACTGTGCACCTGAGCAAGCTGAAATTGTTAGCAACCTTAATCTTGTCTCCATCTATTAAGATACTAAAAACCCTATTTTGGTTGGGATCTCAAATGAGTGTCACCAAGAGTCAGAACTGACTCAATGGTGGTGAGTTTGGGGTTTGAGTTAACTCCAAATTCTCTAATGAGTTGTGTCCAAATAGCTGTCCCTGGTTTTATAAGTTGAAACTTCCCCAAAACACTCAAAATCAATGCTGTCAAGTCAGAGCTGACTTATAGCTGACCTTCTAAAAGTTTTCAGAGGCTGTAAATTGCATGAGAGGAAAGGGATCCAAACTGCCTGCCTTTGGGTTGGCAGTACAACTCCTTACCCAGTTGGCCACCAGCTGTTGTAGTTAGGAGCTGTCAAGTACCACTCATAGTAACCGCATGAAAACATACCTGAACCCTCTCCTATCCTGTGCTATCTTCACAATCTCTGACACACTTAAGCCTATTGTTACAGTCACTGTGTCAATCCACCTGGTCGACTGACTTCCTCTCTTTGACATTCTTCTACCTTCCCAAGCATGATGTTCCTCTCCAAGGAATACTCTCTCTTAACAACATGCCCAAAGTATGTGAAATGAAGCTTTATCATCTTTGCCTCCAAGGAGCACTCTGGCTGTACCTTCTCCAAAACATATTTGTTTTTATGGCACTCCATCGGAGATTCAGCGCTCTTCTCTAACATCATAATTCAAAGGTATCAATTTTTCTTCTATCATCCTTCATTGTCCAGCTGTCAAATGCATAGCAAGTGATTAAAAAGACCATGGCCTGAATCAGGCACACCATAGTCCTCAAACTAATATCATTGTCCCTCAATAATTTGGAGAGGTTTCTGACTACAGGCATTCCCAGTGCTATGAAGAAGTTAAGGAGCTGAACAGACTATTTCAAAGAGCAGCATAGGAAGATAAAGCAAAGTATATATAATGAACTCTGCAAAGAGAAGGAGTCGGAAAATCAAAAGAGCCAAACTCACTTGACAGGTCTTAAGGCAAAGGAAAGGAAGAACAAATTCAAGCCTCGAGTATCAATACTTAAGGCCATGGAATGACTTAAGAATACTGAGCGATCCAGGAAGCATTAAAAGAAAATGGAAGAAGTACAGAGTCACTGCACCAAAAAGAATTAGCTGACACAGAAAAATTTCATGAAACAACATATGATCAAGAGCCTATGGTAATGAAGGACTTGGCAAAAACAAAGCCCCAGGAATTGATGGAATACCAATTGAAGTATTTCAATACACAGAATGCTGCCTTGGATGTGTTCACCAGGTTGTGCCAAGAAATCTGGAGGACAACTACCTGGCCAACTGACTGGAAGAGATCCATATTTACTCCCATTCAAAAAAAAAAAAGGTGATTCAACAGAGTGTGGAAATTATTGAACATTATCACTAACATCATACACATGCAAAATCCTGCAGAAAATTATCCAGAAATGACTGGAACAGTGCATTGACAGAAAACTTGCCCAGAGATACAGGTTGGGTTTAGATGAGATTGTGGCACTAGAGACATTTTTGCCAGTGACAGATGGATCTTGGCAGACAGCAAAGAGTACCAGAGGAATTGCCTTTCTGTGTTGACTCTGCAGAGGCATTTGACTGTGTAGATAACAACAAATTATGGCTGACCTTGAGGAGAATGGGAATCCCAGAACACTTGACTGTGCTCATGAGAAACCTATATACTCAGAACAGGAAGCATTCATTGGAACAGAGCAGGGAAACACTGCATGGCTCAAAATCAGAGAAGAAGTGAATTTGGGATGTGTCCTGTCTCCATACCCTTTCAATCTATAGGCAGAACAGATCATTTGGGAGGCTGGGCTTTATTAGGAGGAATATGGCACCAAGATTAGAGGGACACTCATCAACAACCTATGCAGATCTGCTATGCAGATGACACACACTTGCTTTGCTGAAACTGCGCTTGTTGCAGAAGGATTGTAGTCTTCAACATCCAGAAGACAATGATTTTCACCACTGGGTAAACTAGCATCACCATGATAGATGGAGAAGAGATGGAGGTTGTTAACAATTTCAGCTTGCTTAGCTCCAAATCAACACTTTTAGGACCAGCAATCAGGACATCAAAAGACAAATTGCACTGGGAAAAATCTGTTGTTAGCGACCTCTCCAGAGTGCTGAGAAGCTACGGTATAAATGTGGAGACTAAGGTGTGCCTGAGTGAAGCCAGTCTTCGTAATTACTTGCTATGCATCAGAGAGGGGACAATGACTAAGGATGATGGAAGAAGTGACGCCTTTGAGTTTTGGTGCTGGAGAAGAGTCTTGAATATACCACTGAGAAAACAAATAAGTCTGCCTTGGAAATGGTGAAACCAAGTTTCTCCTTGGAGGCTAGGATTTTGAACCTGTCTCACAAACTTTGGGCACATGGCCAGGAGGGACAAGTCCTTGGAAAAGTACGTAATGTTTGGAAGGATGAAGAGATAGCACAGGAGAGGAAGATCCCAGACGGGATGAACTGACACAATAACTGGGGTAATGGGGGGGTAGGTGTGTCAGAGTTAGTGAGACTGGCTCAGGACAGGGCAGGTTTCAGAGATGTTGTACATAGGTTCACCATGAGCTGCAGGCAACTCTACAACACATAACAATAACTAGTTTTCATGTGGGCAAAATTAAGTGTTCTGTGTTTCGTATTCTTCTAATGTTAGCCATAATTTCTTATCCAAACAGTCAGTCAAATGTCTTTGCATAGTCTTTAAAGCACAAATAGATCCTCTTTTGCCTTTTATTTGCTTTCAGACAGGATCTATGTAACATCAGCTATGATATCCCTGATACGCCTTGGCTTCTTCTAAACTCAGCTTGAACTTCCAGTTCTCTTGCTAGAAACTGCTCTAGCTGTTTTTGAAGGGTCAGTTTCCTGTGTTATAAAGCTGAAAATCCATAGAAGAGATTGTTGTTGTTATGTGCCGTTGAGTTGCCTGTCACTCATAGCTACCCTATGCACAAAAGCCCTAAACCCTGCTCTATCCTGTGCCAATCATACTGTTTGACACACCAACCCCAATTACCCCAGTTATAGAATCAATCTATCTCATAGAGGGTCTTCCTTTCCTGTGCTGTCCCTCCACCCTCCCAAGCATGATGTCCCTCTCCAAGGACCAGTCCATCCTTGCAACATATTCAAAGTATGCCAGACAAAGCTTCAAAATCTTTGCCTCCAAGGAGCAGCATGGTTTAACCCTCTCAAGGATGAACCTGTTTGTTTTTTTAGCAGTCCATGGAATATTCAACACTCTTCTCCAACACCACAGCTCAAAGGCATCAATTCTCCTTCTATCATCCCTAGTCACTATCCAGCTTTCTGATGCATAGCAAGTGATTGCAAAGACCATGGCCTGTATCAGGCACGCTTTAGTCTCCAGACTGACACTGTTGCTGTTCAGTACTTCAGAGAGGTCTCTAACAGCAGATTTTTCCATCACAATATGTCTTATCATTATTAAAATAAGAGTATAGTCATGTCAATATCAGAGTTTGAACTTGAACTACAGAGAGCCAAGCCTTTTCCAGCTCACTGGCTTGTTCTCTTCCTTGACTGTAATTTACTAGTTTAATCCTAAATCCAAAGAAACACCAAGCATCAGTGATACGCAATCTGAGAAAATTGGAACCACATTTGAGTTAAGACAAATACATATGGTTTATTTTAGTTAGAATCAGGCATTTAATGGCATATGACAATCCACGTTTTCCTTTCCTCTTCCAAACTTCATGAACTTAAGACTCAAATACTATGCAAGACATTTTAAGACTTACTTTGGCTAGCTTCCCCACTCCCAAAGGAGATTAAAAAGTAGTCATGTAAAAAAGTTAAGGTTAAAGTATTTCAATCTCACAGCTAATGACTGACCATTTGTTTACTGGTGACTTGTGCTCTACCCAGAAAACTG